TTCAAAAGATTTCTTATAAGATTCTTCCAAAACGCTTGATCTTCAACAACATTTTTTCTATTGTTAGTCCTCGCTGGGTCCATCTGAGAATTGCTTTAACAAATCCATTTGAAATTACCAGAATTTTGAAAGCAGACAGAAGAAATCACCTCAGATCCATCAACAAATCTTTCGTATAGGTTGGTCGCTTCTATTAAGAACACAGGTGAGGATCCGGAACTTCTGAAGCTGTGAGAAAAGGGACGGAAGAGATAATCGCTGTTTAGAAAAGCGGGAAGGAACTACAATTTTTCAGTGAATTATAGCTATTACTCTTCGTAAACAAGTTGGAAGAACTATAGCCTCATCACAAAGTCCCATCATTTTATAGCAATAAAGTGCAAATCCATAGAACGAGCCTGTTTTTCACTTCTCCTCCACAGAAAGTTCATTCATTGACTTCATGTGTACGACTAAAGTCTTGGTTTGTCTGGATTAATTTTTCCTTTGAAAGGCGATTAAGTGAGATTTTCGCCATTTTGAATAGAGGAACAATTCATATCTTTTTCCTTAGCTTCGTGGTCCATTCCATGAGTCAACTCTGACTTTTTAGATCTGTGGAACGTGACAATTCCTATCAGTTTTGCTCTTTCGTTAATTAGACGATAAATCAACTCTATAGATTACCCCGTCATTCATCTTATGAAAAAAAATTGGTCTCAGAGCTTGACTACAGAAAAAGAAGGAAATAGCTATTATGAGCATTCTTTTTGAAGACTAAAATTAAGATGAACTGATATTTACTTGCACCTGAGACTTTTTACGAATTTTTGAGATTAAATTCTACTCTGAAAACCAAATCATCATGGTTTCGGTACTGCGCAGGATGCTCTTCTTTTCAACCAAAAACAAAGATACACTGAACGAAACTGCCAATCAAAAATTGTACGGATATTTTCTTCGTTTCGTAATTCTAATAATAACACTGATAGGGGCCGGTTTTCCAGTTTAGTTGATATGAAACGGGAAAATTTGCCCAAGCTGCGTCCGTCTCATCATAAATCTTTCGCTGATCACTGATCAGCAAATAGCGCTACGAAGCTTGTCTTTGCGGAACCAATTCGTTCAAATGGAAACATGGGTTCATCGTAATAAGTGTGATTTTTTGCTATTCTGGGAATAAACGGGAAAAACTTGAGCAGAATTTTCAACCAGGATTTGAAATTCTCGGAGAATTCTTTCAAGTATAGCAGTGAGCTTTGCTGATACAAACTGAAAAGTTCCATTTTAGGATCCATAGAACTTCACATAATTTTGCGAGTAAACAAGTCTTTGTTCTTCACGATAAATTTCCCTTCAGGAAATTTTGAGATTTTTAACGTAATTTTTGAGGATAGAAAAGACAGGTTACAGTCTGTAGATTTCGTTAATGTTTGCAATTGCACATTTGAAGGATAATCGCAGTAGGGTGCTTATTTTCTCTTATTTCTTGCTTAATTCTCTATAAGTTGGGCAAATTGCGCACAAAGCAGCATGAATACATTCATTTGTTTATTTTCTGTACTAGTGCACCGAAACTGAGAAGAAAGCAAAATAAAAATAGGGAAAAATAACTAAATAAGTATATGAATAATATAAATATGCAAAGAGGTAAGTAGAAAATAATGACAATATATGAAATATAAGTAAGTAATATTAATGCAAATGTTATTATTTTTTAACTGCGTTTTCGACATATCACTAGCATCTTATAAAATTGTGCACATTAGTAAAGTAATCTACTCGACGTAGCTTGGGCATTTTTTCCTTTCTAGTGCTGAAATTTTCCGAGAATCTTGATTATAAAAAGAGTTTGGCAATGATTTCATATTATTTATTTTTCACTAAGCCTTTTTAGTTACGCCACCATCCTGGAAAATGTGCAATTGCACATATTAGCAAAGTAATCTACTCGGCTATAAACTGGACAGTTTTCCTCCCCTAGTGATGAAATTTTTTCGTGAAAACTTGACTCAAAAAAGGGGCTTAGGGGTGGAGCAAAGTAATGAGTGTTTTTACAGCCCGAACAAATCTAGCACTCAAAGATCAACATTACGTTAGCTTATCTAAGCGGACTGATGCTTGATCGCCCCATATCACTAGTTGTCTGTTCGTGGGGTGGGGGCGAATGGCCGCCGATGCTGTGCCTCGGCCGTGTGAGTCGGACACGAACGAATGGACGGACGAAGGACGAATCGATTCGTGGTTGAACCCCCTCCGCACTTCCAGAGACGCTTCTACTTTTCATTTTTTCATTGTTTGGAAGTTTCGTGCATAAAATATCTTTGATATAGCCTTTTGAGGGAATTATGTGGAAGCTCAAGCCTGAACCTGTCTTCATTTCCTCGAAAACTTCTTCAGAATTTTCTCTCCGCTTTTCTTTGACCCCGTCTACGATCCTAGCACCACGCCCATATTTGACCTACTATAGGCGCCAATTTCAAATTTTCCCATTTTGCTGGTTTTTTATCCGTTCACTTTAGTGCATTTCATATTTCCAACAAGTACGACTCTCTCCCTATTCCTGTTGCCCTGTCACCTATATTTTCTGACCTTTAGAAGAGTGTAAACACATAGGGCGGAATTTATCTGCACATTTGTCTTGTTGATCTACCCTTTGTTTTTCTCATTGGTGATGACCTCTGCACTATTGGGGTAGGGTAAGATGTTGCCCACATTGCCTAGGTTGTTCTTCAAGGATGAGAAAGTCTTCCTTCCTTCTCTGTAAAATTTTTCAAGAATCTCCTTCATTATTTTCATTCATCTTTTCCCGGATATTACTCTCGTTTTCCCATTCATTCTAGATTTTTATACAAAGACACAAATTATTTTAGCGTTTCGACTTCACTGTTCTCTACGCGGAAATACAATTCACTTACAAAAAACCCAAAAACACTTCAACTGCACGTATTTGCTTTGTTCTTTCGTTTTCGCTGGAGCACCCGTTGTGCTTGTGTACCTATCGATGAAGAGTGGTGTTCGTTCAGTTGATGGCATGTAACAAAATGTAGATTAGTGAATAGACTTCCCTTTCCCCCTTCACGCTCAAATGACAACGATTCCTCAAAATGCGCGAATGTATGGATGCCGCAGGGAACAAGAATTTAGATTTCGCGCGCAAAATTTAAAAAATTCGGCTGTTGTGCAATCGCACCGTAAGAGGTGAGATTTTGGCAGCGACTCTAATGAGTCCTCCTCGAAGTGCTTTGAGAAAAATTCAGGGGGAATGAAATCGAGAAGCAAAGCTTGAAACACAATAGAGTTGCTTAAGAAAGTGTATTTCAAATTTGACGGGTACTGGCGCGCCCTACGGTGTTGACAACACTTGCGCGTAAGTAATGCATTCACGGCTATTTTTCACGCGCATGTTGTCGGCGAAATAGAGAACATGTCTCATTTACTAGAAAATACGACTGTGGTGAATGGTCTCAAGTATACTCAAGAAATTCCAATTTTTTTTCTAATATTTTAATGTTGAATAATGGCCAAAAATCAAAGAAATTCGAATATTTCCTGTCAATAATATTCGTAATCTGGAAACTGCGAATAATCGAATTTCAAATAGTCTGCAGTCGACTGTTTTATCAAAATGCTCGAGTAATCATTCGATTTCCATGGTACAGTACATATCGTTCATTCTCTGACTAGAGATGCGAGCACGCTTTGCGTACGTTTGATCGACAAGTTCGTGACTGAGTTCCAACGCGTTTTGGTTAATTACTATCAGGAATTCGTGAAAGAACGTGTTCAAGCCAGCTGGTTTAACGAGCTCAAACATGTTCCTCCACGAATTTTAATAGTACATCAACCAAAACGCGTCAAAACTCATTCGTGAACTTGTTAATGGAAATGTACGCAAAGCGTGTTCTCGTCTCCTAGTTAGAGAATGAATGATAGCTGTTTAGAAAGCGTGCTTGCAAAAGTTAAATGGAGGTTTTGCAAAAGAGTTGTTTATCACTTCGCAAAAATCTCTTTCGAACGCTATTGAAACTTGAGAGGTTGTTTACCGGCATACGAAACTTGAAGAGCAAAAGTGCATGCCTGAATACTTGAACTATTTCTGTTTTGTGTTCAAAAATTGGGGATCAAGGCTGTAGAAACAAGAATGCATTAAAATTCGCAAAGAAAAATCCAAGTTTTCTATGAGATTGTGTGACCATTTCTCGAAATAACGCCATTTTGCTTTCTTTACAGATGTGTCTTACTTGTCTTTTGAATCTGTGCTTGGTCATAAAGAATTATCACAATACAAGTTTCGTAATCAAGCGAGTTTTTACAGTTCTTTTCGAAGTGTGAATTGCATGTGAGGGGCATAAATAATCATCCTCCCAAACACAAGTTTCATAATCGAGAAGCATGTTATTACACAATCTCTTCGGAGTATGAATTGCATGTGAACTAGGCAAATCAATTTGAACAGAGCGAAAATAGAGGCTTTCTCACGTATGAAACTCTCAAAAGAAACAACATCATTGAAATAGCAATGATTAACTGTGACATCAGGACTTGTAACGATCAAACATGGTTACAGTTTAGGTAGAAACGGCGGTTAGTGCTCCTGCGGTGGCGACAACATTTGCGCGAAAATAAATGCCATGCTTGTGAATGGCGGCAAGTTGCTGATTGTGCTTAAGAAATGCTATAGAGCAGGTATTGTCATTGTTTAAGCGCAAATCTGTCGCCAACATAAGAACACTATTATATTAATTGTCAATTCTGTTAGGCTATACTTCCCACGGCATTCTTCTGATGCATACTGAGTTTTTCTTGTGTTGCTTTCGTAGAACTTAACATATTGACTAGAATTCTCACAGTCAGTTGTTTCATAGTAGACGCTAAAAGCCTGAGTTGCTCCTTATTTGGACTACGCCATTTGCATGCTGGATCCACGCTGGATCCACACCCTATTCAGTTATATTGTGTTTGTGCGAGGAATCGTTGTTGCTCTTTACACCATCTAATGCCCTTTCCGTAGTGTGTGCTGTAAACCTTGCGTCGATCGAATTACGCGTACATAATTTAATCTATATAGAGCGAAAGATGGATGGCTACCCTAGGGCCGTGATGATTACCGACTACGATCGCCGCAAGCAGATTAGTGTGCGCGGTATCGCACAGGTAGAAAACGTCAGCAACATCAAGAAGGCTTTCAATAGACATCTGCATTTTTCCATCATCAAGGTGAGATCCAAAATATCTATCACTATTGAACCCAGTAATCGTAAAGGTGCTAGATTTGCAGGCGCTATCGCTGCAGGGACCGCGCGGTTTCCCGCAATTTCACCTTTTTTGAATAAGCACAACGATTCCCTATGTATAGGTTTACCATCCTCACCCCAACAAGTGAGGGGAGGGGACGGAGATAGGGTCTCACACAGAAGAAAATCAACTTATGCTCGATGCAGCCGCATAACAGCCTCATCGTGTTTGACACGTTCTGACAAGTACACCACGAAGTTCAGTCAACAAACGACACTTGCCGCACAAATCTGTGATGCCTTCAACTTTTGGCATATTCAAGGTGCGCGCAACGCATGACCGCAACGCAGTTGAATACTTTCCGCTACCCGCACAAGTTTTTGTAACTGAGTGAGGACGGCCTTGCGGCTTCAAGCTCCTTCTCCCGTGTGGTCAGATTGCTGTTCGCATCATTGGTCAACAAAAATGCGTAAACGCTACTGCATGACGAAGGCGCAGATGACATTAGTTGAGCGGGCGCAAATTCGGCGTGCGCATATTTTCACCATTGTAAACCATGCGCGTCATACGCTCTGCGGCTAATAAAGCCGCACTCACGCCCAAGGGTATTGCGCCTTTGTCATGCAGTGGCCTATATTTTTTAGCTTTCTGGCTTTGAAACTGCACCGTTCACTGAACGTGGGAAATAAGCTTAGAAAGCCAGTAGGCTCTTTTGATTGTGTGTCTTTGCGGTGCAGACAACATCTGCGCGGGAAGAAATACATGAGCGAACCTGAAGACCTGCGCTTTGTCACCATTTTCTACGTGTATTGCCGACATCGCGAATTTTCCTTCTAGTGCAAAGGTCCACACCTCGAAGGCAAAATTTCAACTGTCATTACACACTAGACTATGGGGACATCGTGTCAGCGTTTGCGCAGTTGATCCAAGGTGGAGGACTATATGTCGCCGAATGCGGAAGAGTCCCGCGCGGATTTCCTGCTGGAACGCATGTCCGCGCATGTACATGGGTGCGTATTTGTCGCAAATGATCGCGGGGACCGCCCTTTTTCGGCGACATATAGTCCTCCACCCGTTGATCCAGAGTCGGAACCGCGCCGCTATATCAGCCATAGTGCGTTCGAGGATTACAGTTTGGGAAATTGTGCATAAATCTTGAAACGAACTTTCTACAAAAACCGAAGGGTCTAGAATGTGTTATTTGAAGATGTGGATAGTTATTACCAGTTATTATTATTAGTTACTAGATGGCAAACCCGGCTCCGCCCGGGGCCAAACTTTGCACACATACACTTCGGGGCAGGGAGCGTGTCATAGTCCACTTTTCGTTATCGATCGATGTCGATTTCACCGATTTTTTGCAAATTTTGAGCTACGGGCTGGGATTTTGCACAGGGGGGTAATCGAACATGCTGATCACCCCCGTGGGGGGAAAAAATCCCAGCCCCCTAGCTCAAATTTTGCGAAAAATCGATAAAATCGATATCGATCGATAACGAAAAGTAGCCTATGACACGCTCCCTGCCCCGAAGTATATGTGTGCCAAGTTTGGTCCCGATCGGTTCAGAAATAAAAATTTCTATTCCGCACATACGTACAGACAGACATACAGACATACATACAGACAGACATTCAGCTTTATATATAAGAAGATTAGTTATTATTATTGGATAGTTATCATTATTAGTTATTAGTAGTTTTGATTAGTGGGAATTATTTTTTTCCATCATACTGCGTTTGCTCCTCAGCGAACTAATTTGTACTTTCTTTTTCTTTTCAGTGGGAAGTGAAATTTCCAGTTGTTAATTTCAGGATCGTAATGTTGCAACACCTCGGGATTATTACATGGCCCTCGCAAATACTGTTAGGGACCATCTAGTGAGCAGATGGATTCGCACGCAACAGCATTATTACGAGAAAGATCCTAAGGTAATTTCGAAAATTTAGCCAATAATCCATATACATAGGCTTCTTGGGTTTTTTTTGCTAGAAATTTAAATCTTATTATGTTACAAAAATCAAAATTTTTTCATGCTTCAGAGAGTTTACTATCTTTCTCTCGAGTTCTACATGGGACGTACTCTATCGAACACTATGATGAACCTTGGACTTCAGGCTACTGTTGATGAAGCACTCTATCAGGTATTTGTTTACTTTCGGCCACTTACGCTATCTTTAGGTTGTTGTTGTGTACGCGTTTTATGACCCGTGCACAGAGACTGAAAGATTGAATATCGTTGATCGTTCTGTGCCTTTTTGATTGATTTTACACTCGGTGACAGAATCAAACAATTGCGCCATTGCTGTAATGAATCCACATAAGCGAAATGAAAAATGGGGATCATGAAAGGGGTGCAGCTAGGTGCCACTTATCAGCCAGTGTTGAATTTGTGCGTGGTTAATTATTGCTTGAAGAGTTTCGAAGAAGTAAAGGTCAAACTCCACTTTTCGTGGAGTTTGACGGTTTGTAAAATCATTTGGTGAGTAGTCGACTTTTTCTTGGGAATTGTATTAAATTGCTGGGAGTGTTGAGTTATAAAGAAGATCTAATTTGCAGCTCGGTTTGGAGATTGAAGAATTGCAAGAAATCGAGGAAGACGCTGGACTCGGAAATGGCGGTCTTGGCCGTCTTGCCGCGTGCTTCCTTGATTCTATGGCTACTCTCGGTATCCCAGCTTACGGTTATGGTTTACGATATGAGTACGGTATCTTCAAGCAACTCATCAGAGATGGCTGGCAGGTACGTCAAACCTTAGCGTATTTCTGACGTATTAGTCCAGAAAATTATTTCTGTGCTTAGTTTTATTTTGGGATTTTCATCAAGAAGTAAGGGTTTTATCATCCCTATGAGCAGTTTGAACAGTCCCAGCATGTATAGATTTATCCAGATTTTCTCTATGCAGGTAGAAGAGCCCGATGACTGGCTCCGTTTTGGAAACCCATGGGAAAAGGCGAGACCTGAGTACATGCTACCTGTCAACTTCTACGGCAAAGTAGTCAAGGATTCGAAAGGAAAGGTAAGACTCCATTTAGGAAAATTTGGTATTTTTTCACTTTTCTTTAAATTCTTCTTTCTGACCACATATATTTTGCTTTAGTCGAGCTGGGTGGACACACAGGTTGTATTCGCGATGCCCTATGACACCCCTGTTCCCGGTTATCGTAACAATGTTGTAAACACCCTTCGTTTGTGGAGCGCCAAGGTAGGCCTACACGTTAACATTTCTGATCTCTATTACATTTTTGAATCTTGAATTTTATTTTAAATTTTTTTCTACTAATTTAGAAGTTCAGGCTGAGAATCACTTCCACCTAAAGTTCTTCAACGATGGTGACTACGTGCAAGCCGTTATGGACCGTAACATCTCCGAAAACATCACAAGAGTGCTGTATCCTAATGATAATGTACGTTTTTCCCAAAATCCTATCACTTATCACTTATTGAAAAAATCTTTCAGGTTTTTATTGGTAAAGAACTGCGTCTGAAACAGCAGTACTTCCTGGTTGCGGCTACTTTGCAAGACATTATTAGACGATTCAAATCGAGCAAGTACGGCTGCCGTGATGCCATCCGTGTCGACTTCAGCACTTTCCCAGATAAGGTAACTGGAAATAACGCGGTTGAGTTGAAACATACATGATTGTGTGTTATTGTAGGTCGCCATCCAGCTTAATGACACTCACCCCTCTATTGGAATTCCCGAGCTGATTCGTTTGCTTGTTGACATTGAAGGTGAGATATTGCCTAATTTTTTTGCTTTTCAAAATTTTTACATTTTCATCAATAAAGGATAAAAGAATGAATAAATTGGATAAAAGCAGTCCATGAAGAACCCTTTGGGAACTGTTTTTCCTAGTTTTTCGTGTGTGGCATCAGTAGCTCTTTTTTTGCCACTTGGCTGCCGCTTAGTACAAAACATCATTGATTTGTTTATTTTGAATTCAATTAATTATCAAATTAAACGATCTATTAATCAATCAAATTGCAAATTGGCGTCGGTGCACTCTTTATAAGTTCTAGAGAACTCATTCTTTGTTCGAAGTCCTATATGTTATTGATTTAGGATTACCATGGTCGCAAGCTTGGGATATCTGCGTAAAAACCTTTGCCTACACTAACCACACTCTTCTGCCTGAAGCTCTCGAAAGATGGCCTGTGTCTATGCTACAATCTTTGCTACCTCGACACCTCCAGATTATTTATGACATTAATCAGAAATTCATTGAGGTACGAATTTTTCAGAAAAAGGTTATTTTCTATTGCTAATAGTTTCATTTTAGCTTATCTCCTCCAAATATCCTGGTGACTTCGACAGAATGCGTCGCATGTCCATCGTCGAAGAAGCGGATCAGTTCGGAGAGGTCTAGTGGCGAATTCATTGTTGAAATTTGCGCTTATGGTGTTTGTATCTACAGAAACGTATCAACATGGCTAATCTCTGCATCGTTGCTTCACATGCCATCAATGGTGTAGCTGCTTTGCATTCGGAACTCTTGAAGACCACCGTGTAAGTCTCCAACTTGGGAACCTTTTTGCCCCAGATTTCATGAACATACCTTTCAATTTCTTCCTCAGCTCCTTTGTTTGCGAAACTACCACCTAATCGCTTTGTATTTTAGGTTCAAAGATTTTTATGAGGTGTTCCCGGAAAAGTTCCAAAATAAGACCAATGGCATCACACCGCGTCGTTGGCTGCTTCTTTCAAACCCCTCTCTTGCTGACGTTATCGCAGAGGTAAGAAAAGGAGACTCTCCGATTTTTCAACGATTCACAACCAAGTTTGCAGAAAATTGGAGAAGACTGGATCACCAATCTAGACGAGCTGCAGAAGCTGAAACAGTTTGCTGACAATCCAGGATTCCTTGACACTCTTCGTCGCGTAAAACAAGAGAACAAAATGCGTGTAGCTCAGTATATCACTGAGGAATATAATGTGGATATTAATCCTGCCAGTATCTTTGACATCCATGTACGTCTTCTTTAATCTTCTTTTTCGTATATGTTCACTTAATTTGGTTTTGCTTCGTCTCTGCCATTAGTTGCCCTTATGTGGTTTCCTTGCAGGTGAAACGAATTCACGAGTACAAGAGACAATTGCTCAACATTCTTCACGTAATAGCACTTTACAATAGAATCAAAGAAAACCCAAGCATTGATATGGTACCGAGGACTTTCCTCTACGGTGGAAAGGTTGGTTCTGAGTATGGTTCACCATATATTGAATAACAGAGCAAATTATTTGTTGTAGGCAGCTCCTGGTTACCACATGGCTAAGCAAATCATTCGGCTTATCACTAGTGTAGGAGAAGTTATAAACAATGACCCTATCGTAGGAGATAAACTAAAGGTAAATCGAACTGTTATAGAGAACATTTTTTTGAATTCGAAAAACTTGAAAGTATGCATCCCATAGTTCCTTCCAGGTCGTTTTCCTTGAGAATTATCGTGTATCGATGGCAGAAAAGATTATCCCAGCTGCCGATATCAGTGAACAGATCTCAACAGCTGGCACAGAAGCGTCTGGTACTGGAAATATGAAGTTTATGGTAAGTGCATCTGGCCGATTGTAATATGTGCTGGACTCGAGCTTTTAGCTGAATGGCGCGCTAACCATTGGAACTCTTGATGGTGCCAATGTCGAAATGGCCGAAGAAATGGGCATGGAAAACATTTTCATTTTCGGAATGAACGTCAAAGAGGTGAGCTAATGGCAAACATAATTATAATTTTGAACCTCTAAAGTCGTATTTTTTTCAGGTTGAAGAACTCCAGAAGCGTGGATACAACGCCGAAGACTTTATCAACAAAAGTCCAGTTTTGAAACAGGTTTGTTCGATTTATTTGCTTTTCGATCTGGTTATCCTTTTTCTGATCGAATCTCAGATTCGTAATTTCTCGTATATGTTTGAGAAGTTGAAAATTATTGTCCAAAAAGTTTCATAATTCAATTACTGGTTGATTTAGATAGTTGAGCAAATAGAAGCTGGCATGTTCACGCCGGAAGACCCTGACCAACTACGTGATCTCACTAATATGTTGCGACATCATGATCGATTCCTCGTTTGCGCTGACTTCGACTCGTTTGTCAAATGTCAGGATAAGGTAACTTAGCTTTTTTATCATCTTGCCGTAGTTTATGGTCTCCTATGTAGACGCATTATGTACTAAATCAGACAAGTTTTTATTTTTGGTAAATTCGAGTTAGGGTACGAGTGCTATAAACGTCGCCAGCTGGTCCTCATATGGTATGCAATAACACAAAAAGACCAGAAGTTTGCGAAGACGCGTTCATCGGCGTTTCTTAACTCAGACTTCGAGTTCTTGAAAGGCTGACGTGTTATTCGCCTTGAAGTAAAATGGGTCACTCACTATCAAGAATGAAGAACTCAAGCATCATTTATGGTTTTAAAATAAATATTGTATCATCGAGTATCACTAGATGGCAATCTAATAAATACTGAAAATTGCTTATTCCAGGTTGCTGAAACCTACCGGGATCAACAGAAGTGGTGTCGTATGGCCCTCATGAACATCGCCTCCACCGGCAAGTTCAGTACTGATCGCACCATCATGGAATATGCCCGCGAAATCTGGGGTATCCAACACGGAGAAAGAGCCCTACCCGCCCCATATGAGAGTGTAGATGGAGTCGAAAATACCCAGTAACAGCCACGACCCCGCCATCATTTTTGTATAATTTATGTTTTTATATCAGCGCTATTTGAAGGTGCATTTCTGTTGATATGACTTACTCAGCCATGACTCGCATTAATACGAATATAGCGCTGGTCGATGTGCATTGTTCTCGCGGTACACGACAGAGTGCTAGAATTACCCTTGCTCACTGTTGGTTAAGAGATTAACTAGAAACGTGTGTTTTTATAGGATTATTTGTCAGATTTCTCAAAAAGTTGCCACATTTTATTAAAGTTTTAGAATTTTTATTATTAGCTGTAGATAAATGTGGTAGAATGATAAATCATTCTTCTCCGTGTTCACTCATCTCTTTACAAGTTATAATAACATACGTACACTGTGAGAGTGCACAATTTTTTGCCCAAGTTACAAACAATCGTTGATTCTTCAAATTGCTAGCAAAAAAGGAATTTTTTGTAATGGTTAAGGTTGAAATTGAACGAAAGAACAATTAATATGTAGTCGAATTTTGCATTCGAACAAAAATATCTTTGGGTTTCCAGACTTTCTACATACCAACTTTGAGTTTACAAATAACTGAAACTTAATAAGATTTCGCATCAAACAAAGAAGTTTTTCAAAAGAGCTGTTTTTTTGAAAAGCTGTTAAAAGTCTGGTCACAATGATTGTGAGTCTTCGCATCAACTTTGGAATCCCTTTTCAATAGTAAACTGGTCGTGGAAAATCACCTTGTCAGGTTCAAGGAGTGTACGGACCCTTGCCTGAGCGTAGCGGTGCGAGGTAAGTACATTAGAGTTATTATAAATATTTATTAAGATTAATTAAATAAGGGTGATACATAGGGGAGGGAGGAGTACTAGTATTGGTTTGGGTACCGGTATTCGCGAGCGAGTCCTTGTATTGCAAAGAAAAACAAGAAAATCTACGTAAAATGCAAAAATTCTAGCGCGATCGCGACATATAATCACAATGGTACCGGACCCGGTGACTAGATCACGGTTTTTCGCGGGTACTCCGGTGAACCGCGGTAAATTATAGCTATTCACGGCTTTTCACGGCATTTCCCGGTGTATTCCCGGTGCAAAATACGCAAAAAAACATCTTGGCCAAGAAAAGGTTTAAAAGTTTCTGCTAAAGTAGGCTCGCTCGCAGGACTGTTTGAAATCGATATATACATTAATTATCACGGCAATATTTGGTTAATTGTACTAAGAAAAAACTCACAAATTGTTCGTTCGACTTCCTTTGTGCACAAGGAGGTGGGTGGGTGGGGTGTGGAGGGGGTGGTATGCGTTTTGATTCCCAAAACGTTCGAGAAGAATGGGTAAAAATATTCGAGGAGAAAAAAAAATTCAGCTTAACGTTAGACCTATCTCCCCGGGATCTCCATGTCAGGTTCAAGGGGTGTACGGACCCTTGCCTGAGCGTAGCGGTGCGAGGTAAGTACATTAGAGTTATTATAAATATTTATTAAGATTAATTAAATAAGGGTGATACATAGGGGAGGGGGGAGGGGGAAGTGGGGCGAGCCCGTCGGCTCCGGTGCTCCCACCTTCACTGAGCCTTAGGCGATGGCTCTGCCCCTCAGCTAGCAGCTGTTGCCGGCTGGGTCCCGACATCTCCAATTCCAATTTAAGCTCGTCCTCGAGCTTACAGATAGCTGGCGAACGTAGTGATGAGGTTGTTGATTTTACATCTTCGAAGTCTCCATTTCGCGGAAGAATAGATGAACTGCGTAGACAGTTACGACCTATTCTTCATCGTTGGCGTCATCAGTCTTATCAGTCATCATCACAGTCATCATCATATCATCCCGGACGTTGAAGGAAGCTCGTCCTCGAGCTAAGGTTGGCGATGGACGAAGGGAAGGATCGGTTGGTGTCGTTGTAGAAGTGGGTTCATCGTTAAGGTAGGCATGGATATTAACGTGGAATTCGTATGTAGAAGGTGATGTAGAAGTGGGGAGTGGGATGATTTATATAAAATGGTCATATTCATCATTGTTGTGCATTGTATAAGTTAATAGCAAAATTACCGTGGTACATACTGAAATGCACATATGGAGGAGCAGTAAAACGAAATATAAACTTGTTTATGGGAAAATTTCAGATTCGAAAGATTTGTTGAAAAAAAATGTTAAAAACATACGGAGGTGCAGAAAGAAATAGAGCAGGCTTTCAATTAGTCACAATCAATTGGCTAATTTGAGCACCTGGGCGAAATTTGAGAAATCACCAAAAAGGATTGCAGAAAACGTACGAAGCGGGTTTCTTTGGTTTTTTTTGGTAAGAAAATGAGATTATTGCTGACTCCTGTGAATCGCCTTTTCAAAGGAGTAAATGTAATGATGGGAAAAAAATTTGATTTAACGCAGCGAGGAGAAAAAAGAAGATGGACAAAAGAGAATGCATTTCAGAAAACCTGTAACTGCGATTACAAAAATAGAAAACAGAAAAAAACTTCTGTTTTATTGATCAGTTATGGGTTTTCTAGAGTGAGAAGGAGCATAGGTAAGTGTTTTGCGTCGGTTTTGAAGACGTGTAAAGCGGCGAATATTAGGATGTTCTTCATTTTCTGACGTTTCTGATGTGATAGGCAAAATTGGTGTAGGGGTTGGACTAGAAACGTTAGGCAATGCAGAACGGGGTGCATAAATATTCAATCTGTTAATGTGCACTGTCTGAAGGGTTTGACGACCAATCAGATTTTTGATAGTGATGTTAGGTCTGTTCACACTTTCTACTACAAAAGGACCCTTCCACTGTACTGAAAATTTTGGACGAACTGTATCGTCGTGTAACAGAACGAGATCCCCAGTGGAAATTTCCTTTAGAAAAATTTTGTGCTGAAAATCATAACCTGCTTTATATTTTGCTGTTTTACTAGCAATTTGGTTTCCTACATCCATGATGGTTGTTTGTAGGGCCGTGGTGAGCTGATCGGCAAAGTTGTCGGTTGCGTACGAGATGCGGGATGGTAGCTGGTGTACAATGTCGCTCCATGTAATAGGATGACGTCCGTAGACAACGAAGTATGGACTGTATCCAGTCGTGTCGTTTATGCTCGAGTTGTAAGCAAAAACAACAGGCTGGAGAAAGTCGGACCAGTAGTCGCGTGCTTCCGAATAGTAAGAAGTGAGCGAGTCATTGATGACCTTGACTAGTCGCTCTACTTGACTGTTTGCTTTATGATTGTAGCTTGTTGTAAAAACATTAGAGATTCCTAGAATTTCGTTGATTTGTGCAAAAATTTCACTTGTATAGTTTGATCCTCTATCAGAAACAATCTCATTAGGAATTCCGTGTTTGGAGATGACATCATTTACTAACGCTTTTACAACAGTTTCGGTCAATTGATTTGGGAGTGGAGTACACACTATGAGCTTACTGAATGCACATACCGTAATAGAAATGAATTTATTTTCATGTATACACTGAGGAAGTGGTCCGACGATGTCAGTATGCATGCGCTCAAATGGTCGCTGAGGTATCGGAAAAACTCCCAATTCCTCGCGGATGATTTGACCAGAAGGAGTTTTGATTTTCTGGCAGACAGGACAAGTTCGAATAATTTGGGCTATCTGTGTACTCATATTAGACCAAAAATATTTTCTTCTATAGCTTTTTGAGTTTTTCTCATGCCAGCATGGGAGGTCATGTGAGGATTATTGTGAAAAAATTCTATGATGCGTTTTTGCATATCTTCATCAGTAATAATTAGTTGTGGTGTTTCTTTTCCTGTAAAATAAAGGCAATCGTTGAAAATGGAATAATTATGCAAGGTTTTAGAGAATTCATCTGATAAATTGTCCGTGTCTCCTTTGAGAAAATCAATCAATTTCTGATAGCTAGAATGCATTTGTGACTGTCGAATATCTTTCAAAGATAGTATATTATTCACTTGTATGGCATTTGTGCACGCTACAGGGTACCTACTCAAAAAATCGCACAAGGTGTTGTGCTTTTTAGCACGGTATACGATTTCGAGGTCGAACGCTTGTATGCTGATTTGGTACTTAGCAAGTCGCCCAACTAAATCAGATCTATGCATTAAGGACTTAAGCGATGCATGATCCGTTACTAATGTAATTTTCGCGTTCGCCAAGTATGGGTAAAATTGGTTTAAAGCGAAAACAACAGCTAACGCCTCGAGTTCTATAATGGCGTAATTTTTCTCATGCTTCGTGAGCGGGCGGCTACAATACGCTATGGGATGCTGATTTCCCGTTTCCGGATTTTCTTGCAGCAGATAAGCCCCTACTCCGATGGTGGAAGCATCAGTATGAACATGGTAAGGTCCACCTAGGACAGGTGAAACCAAAACTGGTGCATTAACCAGTGCATTTTTGAGCGAAAGGAATGCTTTGTTATGTTCTTCTGTCCATCTAAATGGAACATCCTTTTGCAAAAGATTATTTAATGGGGTGGCGATGAAGAAAATCGTGGCATAAAATGACGAAAATATGATGCGGCACCAAGAAATGATTTTACACCCTTGGCATCCGTTGGTTGAAATATTTCTACGATACTAGTAACTTTTGCGGGATTCAAACGGGTGCCTTTCTTGCTAACCGAAATGCCTAGGTACTGTACTTCTTTCTTGAAAAAGGAGCATTTTTCACTCGTCAATTTCATGCCGAAATTTTGGATGCGTACAAATACTTCTTCAAGATCTTGAAGGTGTTCACGTACTGAGTGACTGGCAATTATAATGTCGTCGATATAGGCAAAACAGCAGGCTTTTAATTCACGAATTAAAGCGTTAGCGACCCTCTGAAATGTGCCTGGTGCTCCTTTGAGACCTTGGGCCATTACAGTAGGCGATAGCTGGAAAGGGGATAAGCTGAGTGTGATGCTCCACTTCGGGAGCTTGAACGTGCAGAGCTTGGGAGATGAAATACCGATGCCTCCTGGGTTCGAAAGTGCGCTGCTGCGAGGGACCATGTTTGATCGTTAATAACTCTCTTGCTTTCATGTCTTTTGCCGAGCTTGAAGTATCATTTTGTAGAGCGAGGACAAACTTAGATTTACAGTATTAAACGAAACTCCAATCTCTTTTTGCTGCTGTAGGATTACGGTATAAACTTTCAGCATACAGCATCACTGTGGGATAAACCTTTTGATGAAATAATTTCAAAAAAAAAATCTAAAAATTGTGTAGCAAGGATTCAGGCGTGCAGATTTCACTACATAACTTTCCATCAGTT